CCCCCCACAAAGAAAGCATGAAGGCAGGGGCGATTTTGTTGAAAAGAAGGTTCCAATGGTGGGCGGGGGGGCTGACAGAAGGGAATGGGGAATGAAAAATGACTAAAATTCATTATATAAGTGTGAGAAGCTGACAAACAAGAAAAACTTTTAAATTCCCAGACTGAGAAACCCCTGGTCTATGGGAAGGTCTGCTTGAGAGTGATCCCAGAGTCAGGGACCGACCCCCAACTCCAGAGCCCCGGATCAATCTTGGGTGCAGACGAAGGTTATTCTGGGGCAGGTCTCCCCCTCCTCCTGCTGGACCCTGTCCACCTGGATGACTGTCTTTGTCCAATTCATCTTATCTCTCTGCCTTTTGTGAGCCGGGGAAAACTATTAAATCAAGGTGTCTTATCATGATAGCTGCACAGAGCATGGGCCCAGCCTCCACCCCTGGTGGGTTTGTGTGTGGCTTTTCTTCCAGCCACAGAGAAATGTGAGATGACATTTTCTAAAACTGTCACATTGTAAAAATGCCAAGGCTAATCTCCTGGCACAAAGAGCATTGTAGAAATCAGAACTGACTCAGGGAGCTGCCTAGGCTCAAAGGCATGTGGGCCCTGGGCTGTGCAGTTGGGCTAGCAAAGGTCAAGGAGGGGTTTTACGAAGTTTCTCCAGCTGAACCATGGCTTGTTATGAGCTTGAAGGCTGCATGCCACCTGCTGGTGTTAGAACCTGTGTCATGCACACAGCGGGGTCCTTCTGACTCCTGATCGGAGCATCTTTGACTGTGAAGAGGAGGCAGGCCAATTGGTTTTGTCACTGAAGAAATTAGTGTCTGAAGAGAGTTGCTTCGCAGCTGTCTCAAAGCTTTCCTGGTTGGCTTTTAAAATGCTCAGAAGAAGATAGAAATTTGGCTTTTTAAAAAAGTTTAATTTAGCTGGGCATGGTGGTACATACCTTTAATCCCAGCAATTGAGAGAGGGAGCCTGGTTGACATAGGGAGTTCTAGGCCAGCTGGGGCTACAGGGAAACTGTCTCTAAAAACAAAAAAAAGAATGAACAACAAAATAAGTTTATTTTTAAATATGCGTCTGTGTCTGCGTGAGTAGGAGCCACATGTGTATGGGAACTCTCAGGGCCAGAAGAGGGCATCAGTTAGATCCCCTGAGGTCACAGGCAGTTGTAAGTCCAGTCACTTGGTATGGGTTCTGGGAACCAAACCTGCATCCTCTAGAAGAGGAGCAAGTGCCCTTAACTGTTGAGTCTTTTTCTAACCCCTGCCCTACTTTTTGTTTTTTTTGAGACAGGGTTCCTTGTAACCCCAGATGGCCTGGAACTTGCTGTGTCATAGACCATACTAGCCTTGAACTCAAAGAGATCCACCTCCCTCCAGGCCTTTACTTTTTTTTTTTTTTCTTTTGAGACAAGGTTTCATGTAGCTCAGGCTGGCCTGATCCTCATGTTTACACCCCTACCCCAAAGTGCTGAGATAATAGTTGTCACCAGGATACCTTATACTATGCTGGGATGGAACCAAGGGCTTCATGCATGTTTGGCAAGCACTCTGTCAACCGAACTCCATCCAAGTTCAGAAGTTTTGTCTTTTTAAGAAACACTCAAGGCTGGGGTTGTAGTTGTGGTGGTGTGCTTACCTAGCTTGAGCAGGGCCCTGTGTTCCATCCTCAGTACCACCAAGAAAGAGAGAGAGAAAGGGAAGAAGGGAGGGGGAGTGGGAGGGAAAATGGAAAACGTCAAAATCCACGGTGAAGGTGGACATGGTGGCTCCTTCCTGGAATCCCAGCACTAGGGAGGCTGAGGCCTGGGCTTGCATAGTGCGTTCCAGGCCATCCTGTAGTACATAATGAGCCCCTGTCTCAAAAACTAACCAAACAAGGGCCTGGAGAGGTAGTTCAGCCGTTAAGAAAACTGACTGCTCTTGCAGAGGACCTGTGTTCAGTTCCCAGCACCCACGTGGCAGCTAACAAATGTTCATAACTCCAGGTTCAGGGGATTCCGTGCCCTCTTCTGGCCTCCATAGGCATTGTACCTGTAGGTGCACTTAGATACATGCAGGTAAAATACTCATACACATAAAAATAAAATCACGGGCTGGAGAGATTGCTCAGTGGTTAAGAACATTTGCTGCTCTTGCAGAAAGCCAGGGTTCAGTTCCCAGAAACCATATGGTGGCTCACAACTACCTAGAACTCCAGTTCCAGGGAATTCAACACTCCCTACTGGCCTCCACAGGGACTAAGCGCACGCGTGCGCGCGCACACACACACACACACACACACATGAATGTAGGCAAAACACTAATGTAAAAAATTTTAAATATTTAATATATTTTAAAAAAA